AAAAAAAGGAATTTTGTCTCATAATTATTTTCCTCCACCTCTTTTTCTGCCCAGTGATGAAGAGGACTGGGCGTTGTGTGATGTGTTTGTTGCACATGGAACTCCAAGGAGGTGATTAGTACCAATGGGTGCCTCTTCCCTGATTGCTCCCCCCAGGAATGACTCCACACCTCAGAATTAATGAGGGATTATGGAGCAATTGCCCACTACTGGGAGTCTTTGCTGCTCTCTGTGCTGGTCTGAGCCAGAGGCAGGGGTCAGTGTGGAATGGCTCCACCTGCATTTCATCCCTAGTTTCCTGGCAAAGTCTGTCTTGCGCAGTTTTTAACTTTTCCCTTACAAAAATATTCCATGGAACAGAAACACCTGTGAAAAGGGGAGTGCACTCGAATGGTCCGGGGGAACAACTTGGTGGTTGGACTCACGGGAATCTCTCACCAGGCACATGCTCGATGCTTCGGGGCCTGTGCTGGGTGACAGGGAGCACTTCCCTTCCTCTGACACTGTCTGAGAGGTCCAGAGAGACGCTGTGCCTGCAGCTGGAGAGCTGCTTGAGGGCTCCTTTATCAGCAGCCTGAGAGCAGCAGCTGTGAGAGCCCCACGGCTGGGTGGGCACAGCCCAAGGGGACCATCAGCCTGTCCCACAGCACGGCCCTCCCCTGGCCCCGTGCCTGGTGGTGCCTCTCATTGTCACAGTTCCCCTCCATGGGCTTCCTTCTGGTGGGAAAGGCAGCACTGCACCTGCCCTGCACCCCAAACCCACTGTCTGAGGGCTGTGGGAGATGTGGCTGGTGGGGGAGGAAGATCTGTCGTAGGAAGAGGTGGGTGGGGGAATGTGGAAGTTTTCTAGCGAGAAGATGTTTTGGGGTTTATTGCAGCAGGAAGAGGGAGAACCGGGGGTGTCTTACCAAAGGCTGTGGGTGGTTGCAGCCCAGTGTTGATAAGCAGGGGTCTTTGATAACCTGTGTGCCTGGGGAGGTTGGTTCTGTGGGTTTACATCCCTCCAAAACACAAACTTCTGCCTCACCCTGGCTGGCCCTGGCTCTGAGAGATACACAAGTTGTACAGGAAACCAATTGGTCAAGTGTGGGTTGATTAACTTGAACCTCAGGCTACCAGACCTGCAGGTCAGAACCCTACCACAGGATGGGAGTTCTAAAAATAATCTGTCTGTCTACCAGGATGAAAGTTCCAGAGTTATAGTCCTTCTACATCCCCCTAAATCAGTGAGCTAGGAAAGACAAGGTCTTGAGCTTGAACTTGACCTTGTGTTCTTAGCTTGGACAGGCTTCTATCCAGTGACAGGTAGAAATCCTCAGCAGAAGGAAGGAGTTCAGCCACTGCTGTGTCTTCTGCCTCTGCTGGTCAGTCGAGCTGTGGTGGTTTGCTGATTTAGGCTGAGGCAGCAGACACACCAGAAACCTGCTGATTTTATTGTTAATGAGCAGAAAACAAGGCCAGCTTGTTTTGCTTTATTCAAACTTTAAACTTTGCCTCCTCCCCCTCTGTGTCCCCTCCC